AAAATATGATGGGGCACCTGGGTAGCTCAGTTGGTTAAGTGTCCCACTCTTGGTTTCAGCTCAGGTCATGATCTCACAGTTCATGAGTTCGACCCCCACATCAGGCTCTTTGATGATGGCATGGAGCCTGCTTGGGATTCAGTCTCTCCCTTTTTCTGCCCCACCCCAGCTCACCCTCTCTCTCTAAATAAATAAACATTTAAAAAAAATTTTTTTAAGAAATTAAAAATATGAAAGAAAATAAAAAAGTCCATAAAGAGTTGAAAATAAAGATGAGTAAATATCTCAAAAAATAAAACAAAAAGACAAAGAGATGGAAAGTAGGACAGTAAATAAAGGAAAATTTGAGAACCAGTTCATAGGGCCCAAATGCTGAACAACAGGATTTCAGGAAGAATGAAAACAATGGGGAGGATGAAATCAAATAAATAATTTAGGAAAAAATATCCCTAAACCGAAGGATGTAAGTTTCAGGATTTAAAGTGCCCACTGAAGCTTCCTTTTCCCTGTCTCCAAAATCATGGCAGGCAGAAATGAGGATGTTCTGAAGATTTTCATCTTCACTACTACCCAGAATTACTTCAGTGTCAGAACCCTGGGACCAGCCACTCATGTACAGCTGTCCTGAAATCAACAATTTTTTGGATGACAGGAACCAAACGTTCTTAGGGTGCCGCAATCCAACATCTAATGTCCTTTTCCAACACAACTGAGTTTGCTGACACAAAAGATAAAATGCTGGTTGTTTTCAAGCTGCAACCTAAAATAATTACCAATCAGAATTTACAAAACAACATTCTTGTTTTATCTGTTAGACTCACCTATAAATTCCCTTTACCAAGCAAGCAGCAAGGCCAGTATTTGCACCAATGTTGTTAAAGGATCAGGAATGGAGAATTTTGATCCCAAATTTCAGAATCTTTTGTGTGATCTAGAAGCTAGGTTGGATATAGTTCTACGAAAATTAGACACTAATTTACCAAATTGAAGTTTAAAAAGATGACACATTAAGTATTCTTACACAAACTGATGAGTTCCAGTTTGGGATAGAACAAGCACGTCATGGAAATAAGCAGATTATTGCAGAAAGAGCCAGTTACTTTAAAGAATTATTTGAAACAACTGCAAGAGTTGTGATTCATAAATAGATATATATCAAGCTTTTGATTAAAGCACTTTAGAATTTAAGTTTCACTAGATTTAGCTCCATCTTAAAATCATTACTTGATGGTTGTAAACAAAATATATCCTTCTTAAGTAGCAGGGTTTACTTAAGGTATATATTTAACATAGATACATCTTAGAAAACCAAACTTTAAAGAAAGTTAAATTCTGATCTCTAGTAAATGTTTTTCTCAAAACATAGTTACTCTTCTGCAAGTAGAGAAAAACAAAAGCCTAATACACTAACAGAAGTTTATCCATGTAAAGGCAGTAAGTTCTTTTGAAAGAATGTTCACTTTATTCAAATTAGCATGTTGAAGTAATCTGAGATATAAAGTCTTAGTTTTATACTTGATTGATTATTCTTTGCTATATCTACAGAGAAGTTAAGTGACCATTTTTAGCAGTTACAAAAAAGTCTATTCTTTTCAAAATAAATATACAGAAATTTTCTATTTGCTCCCAATATTATTTCAACAATACCATTTTTAATGAAGTGTTTGAAATGGTTTTAAACTTTTTTTGCAGCAATGATAAAATGTAAAATAAACCTTGTACTCTGACGGCATCAGTGGTAACTTGAATCAACACAGTAAATGAATGGATATGTAAACTATAACGGGTGATATCTATGTGGCATTAAGGTAACCTCTGTTGGGTAAAGAAATGAATCCACATTTAAAGGAAATTAGGCCGGGGCGCCTGGGTGGCTCAGTCGGTTGAGCGTCCAACTTCAGCTCAGGTAATGATCTCACACTCCATGAATTCGAGCCCCACGTTGGGCTCTGTGCTGACAGCTCAGAGCCTGGAGCCTGCTTCAGATTCTGTGTCTCCCTCTCTCTGCCCCTCCCCTGCTCATGCTCTGTCTCTGTCTCAAAAAAAAAAAATTAATTAAAAAATAATAATAAAGGAAATTAGGCCAAGGGTAAAAATAAATGAAAGACTTTCTGTAATTTTTATTTTTAATTCTGACATTTATGAAATTTATATTTGTGAAGGAACTTGCAGGGTATTTGCATAAAGAAGTAATATATCATTTGGTAGAAAAAGGAAAAAATGGTACGGTAGGTATTAGAGTTATAGCAGTTGAAAAGTCTGAAAACATTTTGACTATATTGCTTAGGTACAATTATGATTACTTTAAGAACAAATGTATTTGTGGGGTCGCCTAGGTGGTTGAGTGTCCAACTTCAGCTCAGGTCATGATCTCACGGTTCGTGAGTTCAAGCCCTGCACTGGGCTCTGTGCTCACAGGTAAGAGCGTGGAGCCTGCTTTGAATTCTATGTCTCCCTCTCTCTCTGCACCCCACCCCCCACTCATGCTCTGGCTGTCTCTCTCTCTCTCACAAAAATTAAAAAATTAAAAAAAAAATTTTTAGAACCATGTATTTTGGTTTTAGGACTTTCATACCTTGGACAGTATATCCTTATTGGAAGTGGCTGACTTGGTGGAGACCTCTTGAGATGTTGTAGATGATGTGTAGCGACAAACAGAGCATGATCATTATCCTGAGTCACAAATGTTCCATCTCTTAGATATAGGTACTAGTAAAAAATAAACATGAAATTTGGGGGGGAAATAAATCAAGTCCAGCACATATGTGAAAGAAATCCAGACCCAGGGACGTCATTCTGAAAAATCTCAGAACAGCATTATGGGACTGTGATAAAGATCTCACAAACTTCCAAAAATAAGTCACATATAAAGGGTGAAGAATCAGGGGCACCTGGGTGGCTCAGTCGGTTAAGCGTCTGACTCTTGGTTTCAGCTCAGGTCATGACCTCACCGTTCATGAGATCATGTCTCATGTCGGGCTCCACACTGGCAATGCGGGGACTGCTTGGTATTCTCTCTCTCCCTGTTTCTGTCCCTCCCCTGCTCATGTGCACTCTCCCTCTCTAAAAATAAATAAATTTTAAAAGGTAAAAAAATCGGAGGGGCACCTGGGTGGATCAGTGGTTAAGCATCAGACTTTAGCTCAGGTCATGATCTCACGGTTTGTGGGTTTGAGCCCCAAGTTGGGCTCTCTGCTGTCAGCTCAGAGCCTGGAGCCTGCTTTGGATTCTGTGTCTCCCTCTCTCTCTGTCCCTCCTCTCTCACACTGTCATATCTCTCTCTGTCTCAAAAATAAATACTAAAAATAAAATAAATTAAAAAAAATTTTTTTTTAATTTTAAAGGATAAAGAATCAGAATAGCATTAAATTCTCAAAAAGAACACTGGAAGCTAAGGGGGCAGTGGGGGGAAGCCTTTAAAATCCAATAGAAAACTATTTCCAAACTAGGACTCTATACTTAGTCAAATTTTCAATTAAACATGAGAGTAGGGGGATAAAAAGACCTTTTCAGATATGCAAGGAATCAAAACTTTGACCTTCCTCGTATCTTTCTGAGGAAACTACAAGAATCAGTTCCCCTAAAATGAGGGAGAAACAATAAAGAGGAAGCCACAGGATTCTAGGCAACAGGAGATCCAACACAAGAGAGAGGTAAAGGGATAATTATGTAGGAAGATCCTAGAATAATTTACCACCACAAGCCTAGAGAAGAAATAGTCCAAACCAGAGATCAGAAGGCTCTAGGAAAGATTTCTTCAAGATAAATAATGTGATAAAATACCTTATGTGTCTGAATATACTGGGGGGAGACTTAGCAACTGTGGGAGAGTTAGGGTAGAAAACTAGGCAAAGAAACAAAAATCAGTACTTACTAATTAATTCTAGAAGGGGGAAATACAGTTATATGTGAAAGGAAAAGTAATAATGTACTACATGGCTCAGTAATGAATACCACTAACACAGTCATAATAATGCAAACATTGAATATTGTTCTAACCAAAATTATGATGGGAAAATGGCAGGATTATAAGAACACGTGTGTGTGAAAACAGCCTGGGGTGGGTGGGATGCAATTTGGGTTGACAAAGAAAGCTGAACCCTCACCCTGCACAGTGGGAAGTTAACAGATAATTTCTATAATTGAAAAGTCAAGAAGCAGCTCATAGAGCATGTTATTTAGAGGTATGGAGGTAATCACCAAATAAATCAGAAAAAATAATTTAAGATGGCTGGCTGTAAGGAATGGGAAGTTTGAGTACTGTTGGGGGTGGGAAAAACTGCCCTTTTTTATTACCAGACTCATAACACATTTTGATTCTTTAAATACATACATGTATAACTAAAAAAAACCCCACTGAAATAGAGAAAATGCCCACACACTCATATACAAAGTGTTCTATCTCTTCTCTCTCTCTTAAGTCTTAAAGGCAAGTGAGACTACGGCAGGCATACAAAACTTAAAACACAGCAGGAAAAAAACAAAACAAAACAAAACAAAACACACCACAGCAGGAAACCAGGATGTGAACAGGTGAATGGCAATAAACCATATTGAAGATACGAGCAAATGCTGCTTCTTAGGAGTTAATAGATGTTATACAATTGACGGTCTATACTGGCACAATCAAGAAAATGTAAATATGAACTAAGTGTTATAATAGTATTACAATTATGTACAACAAGATTTTTTTAGAGATACATATGGAAATATCTAGCAGTGAAATGTCACAATTTCTATAATTTAACTGGTCGTCAAAAATTAGACAAAACAAATTGGTAAAATGTCAATAATTGTTAAATCTAGGCAATAGACATATAGTATTTATCATAGTTTCTATTTGTCAGTATATCTGAAATTTTTCATAGTAAAAAGTCAAGAAAAATTTACTCTGTAAAGACCTACGCATGAAGTGATGAGTTAGATTTCCTTCCATAACTATCTTTAAATGGGAAGAAGTTGAAGAGGAGAAAACGAGGAATAGTCCATGGTTATCTTACCATATCCTGCCATAGAAGCGCCATTCTCAACATCCACTGCGTTCTTATTTTCCTCTGCTAGAGCTTTAACATATCTTTTGCTTAAATCTAGTATTTGTTCACGTAACTTGACACTGCTTTGATGTCTTGGTTGTTGAAAAGTATAGTGCAGTAACATCAATCCCCAAATGAGTCCGAATACAAGCAACAGTAAACTCAATTTCTGGGACATAGTTTTTCTTGAAATTGTAAAAATCATTTCTGATGAAGAAAACAGACTCAAATGAAGAGTGGTAACTGGACGTAAGCCACCAAACAATCAAGACTTTTGAAAGAAAAAAAAAATCTCCTCCTCTAATACTGTGTATTCTTCATCTTCAGCAAGGTTGCCTCCAACTCTCAATTAACTCTGTAAAATTGAAAAGAGAAAAGTTGATTAGTCTTAACCTATACCAGCAACAGAATAGACGATGATAGATTTAAGAGATTCTAAAAGGGGCGCCTAGGTAGCTCAGTCGGTTTAAGTGTCCAACTTCAGCTCAGATCATGATCTCCCAGTTTGTGGGTTGGAGCCCTGCATCAGGCTGACAGCTCAGACAGCCTGCTTCAGATTCTGCGTCTCCCTCTCTCTCTCTGCCCCTCCCCCAACTTGTACGCATGCTCTCTCACTCCCTCTCTCTCAAAAATAAACATGAAGAAAGAAAAAAGAAAATACTCCCTTAAAAAAAAAGGGAGATTCTATAAATCATCGTGATTTGAAACTACATCATTTCTCTGACAACTTTCTCCACCATTATGCAAGCTTTCAAGGCTTTTATCAGTTTCATTTACATTGCTCTTCAAAAATAGAAATAAATGTCCATTAATTGAAATGTCACCATGGTCACAAAATTCTCTGAATGACTTGTCATTTGTAACTAAAACTATGGACATATAATAAGATTTACAGTAGCCTATTCAAATATAGATTACCCAACTGTATAAAAGCTATTCCTCCTCCTCCTCCTCTTCCTTAAAAAAAAAAAAAAAAAAAAAAAGGCAGATACCAAAGTGAAAGATTGAATGCTGTAGGAAATGAGGCAAAGCCTGGGTGGCTCAGTGGGTTGAGTGTCTGACTTCAGCTCAGGTCATAATCTCGCAGTTTGTGAGTTCCAGCCCCGCATCAGGCTCTGTGCTGACAGCTAAGAGCCTGGAGCCTGCTTCGGATTCTGTGTCCCACTTTCTCTGCCCCTTCCCCACTCATGCTCTGTCTCTCAAAGATGAATAGACGTTTAAAAAAAAAAAAAAAAAGAATTAAAAAAAAAAGAAAAAGAAAATGAGGAAAGGTGAAACCCACAAGAATATGACAATATTTGGAAATGTCACTAGAAAATATTACTAATGGCAAGGAGATCATCCTGAGCATCCGACCTAAGATGAAAAATAAGTTACCATTTCTAAGTTTCTACTTCTAAATTAATGCCAGGCATAATGACAAGTGCTAAAACAGGTTCAAAAATTGACCTATGTTTCCAAATCTGCAATTTTAAATTTTAAATGCTGCAGGAATATAGTTTTATAATTTAAAGAAAAATTGAAAGGTTATATATACTTCAATTTTTTTTTTCAAGAGAGAAAATCCCAAGCAGACTCCACACCATCAGCGTGGAGCTCTACGTGGGGCTCAAACTCACAAACTAGGAGAACGTGCCCTGACCCAAAATCAAGAGTTGGACACTTAAGGGACTGAGCCACCCAAGTGCCCTTGTACTTCAATGAAAAAAAAAAAAAAAAAAAAAAAAAAAAAAGGTCACAATCATGGAATGTAGAAAGACCTGGAGAGTAATAATGTGTATGAATCACCAAAGTGTCCAGCAAAGAAAACTCTTCAATTATAGCTAATGGAATAAAATTCTTTACATAGAAATACATCTGGAGTCACAGCTTAATGAAAATAATCCTTAAGAACTTTTTTAACTTTCAGCAGTATGGGCAAATAAAACATACCTACTTTAATCCACTTAAATAGGGTCTACTCACATAGGTGAACTAATAAAATCTAGTTTGAGGGTAAGACTAGAATTCAGTAAAGGTAAACTCTGCAGAGCATTTAATTACTTTTGACAGATGTTTACTGAGCCAACACACATCTTAGGCACTATGGCTCTGCCCTAAAATCTTGCTTTCCAGCACAGGTGCTTTCAAAACTTCTTTTAAATAATAAAGAATATCTTTTAATCTTACGTAAAAAATCCAAATACAAAACTCTGTCTCTAGATGTGAGTGTGTTCAGATATGTGTAAAGAGGGGTCTTCTACCCTGGCAATCAACCTGTCCAGTTCAGAAAACTTCCACTGTTTCTTCCTCCTACCCTGACACCCAGTCCCTGATATACGTCTAATAAATTCTGGGCCTCCAAAGTTTGCCGAACACCCATCTACTCTTGTTGAAATGTGCCCATCCTGCCAAGCCTCACTACAAGCATCACTACACCACTCACTGGGCATACTAATTACTATAAGAAAGTAAAAACCGCATTAAAAATTAGAAATTGACTCCTTTTCAAATTTTCTTCTATTTCTGCCTATTTCTTTAGTTATCATACAAAGAATAAATAAATCTCTTCAGATCTTACTGAAACATCACTATTAATATCAATACTGGATTACTAAACATTGCTTAGCAAAGTCAATTAAATGTAACCCTATGTTTTTTCTACAGAAATTTTACATTTGAGATTAGGAAGTGGAAGTTCTGGATTCCCCAGCAAAATTTTAAAAGAATATTCTTCACACATCTATTAAATATATTATTCCTTAGAGATTTTTCTTCACTGGTTCAGATGTCTTTTTAAGTCTGATCTGTGTGCCACGTTATCTGACCTACCACCAGCAGAGGACCAAGCAGGTCCTTCTGAAGCAGTCACAATAGGGTTCTAAAGATGGCATGGTAACAAAATCAGAAAAGTGACATCACTGGAGAATTAAGAGCATAGACTCCTAGGTATTTTGGCAAATGAAGGTTAAAATGACAGCCTGGAAAGTTTCAGGTCACTATACATCTCTAAGGCCAAAACGGAAGATACCCAAATCCAGAGGCAAAGAGGGTATTTCAGTTAAATAACAGCAACAGCCTTGCTACAATCACTTACTTTGTACCAGATTCTGCTTTAACTAAATCTTCACAACTCCTACACTAAGAATGTTTTCACTTAGCAGGTGAAAAAAACTGAGGCAAAGAGAAGTTAAATAATTTGTCCAAGGTCATACAACTGGATAGAGATAAGATGGTAGAGATAAGATTCAAAGCTCAGGCTCTGAACCTCTGCCCCTCTTTTGCAGGAATGGCAATAAAATAGTAACAGCAGAAACTGCAGCCATGAACAACTACTGAGTTCTTATAAAGTAAATACTTCACAAGGGCTATTTCATTCATTATCTGCAATAACCTCAAAAGAAAGTTGTTATTCTCCCATTAAATATGATCACATTAAAGCTTAGAGAGGTGGTTAACCTAAGATTTTTACACAGGCAACTCACCTTGCCTGAACTTTGGCAAGAGCTCCAAGTTCAGAATGTATACCTCCATTCGGGGTCTGTCCTTTCCTTTATTTTATTTTATTTTTTTTAATTTTTTTTTTCAACGTTTATTTATTTTTGGGACAGAGAGAGACAGAGCATGAACAGGGGAGGGGCAGAGAGAGAGGGAGACACAGAATCGGAAACAGGCTCCAGGCTCCAAGCCATCAGCCCAGAGCCCGACGCGGGGCTCGAACTCGCGGGGCTCGAACTCACGGACCACGAGATCATGACCTGGCTGAAGTAGGACGCTCAACCGACTGCGCCACCCAGGCGCCCCATGTCCTTTCCTTTAAAAGAGGTCCTTAAACTCAGCCCTATTAGAACTCCTAAGTTTTACGGAACTCCAGTAAAATGACAAATCACAGGACTGTAAAAACATTAGGCAGAGAACAGGAGATTGGCAGAAGAAGGAGGGGTTGAAAGTCAAACACAGGGAGTCTAATCTCTAAGAGATAAAGTCCTTCCGATTAGGTACAGGCTGAACAATGAAAGCTGCACACCACCACGAACTTTGACTAAAGGATGAGTGGCAGTACCAACACCAGACACAGAGAGAAAACACACTGATGGTGGACAAGACAGAACATTAGCTAAGGAGAATATGCCCCCAAAGTAATAAATCCTAAAGAAAAAGAAAACCTAGTCTAAACCTAGTGTTTCTCAGTATGGCAGGCCCAAAGACAAATAAAGAGCCCCTTATTCCTCCATATTAACTGTATACCATCTGACTATTAAATTCAGAGAAGCCTACTAGGAAGGTCTTCATAGCCTTGACTCTCCTTAGAAGGTGTCTGGCTCATTACTGCCCTCAACAAAATTAAAGCACACCATCTCAGAGGGAAGTCAAGAAGCTTTATAGGGACTACTACACTAAATTCTTCATATGCTTTATAACTTGCTTGTGTTTGTTACGTGTTTTTCTTTCTTTAAGTTTATTTATTTATTTGAGAGAATGAGAGTGAAGGAGAGGCAGAGGGAGAGGGAGAGAGAGAATCCCTAGCAGGCTCTGCACTGTCAGCACAGAGCCCGATATGGGGCTCAAACCCAAGAACCGTGAGATCATGACCTGAGCCAAAGTCAGATGCATAACATGCATAACTGACTCGGCCACTGAAGCGCCCCTGTTACACATTTCTCTATCTTGATAAGAAGTTAAACATTTAACATAAAAAGGGTTTGTTTTTGAGAACCGCAAAGAGGTGAGAAGTTAGGAACTGTTAATCCCACTCGACACTAGGGAACTAAAGAAGGACACCAAGGAGTGTGGGAGCTACTAGGGAAAAAAGATACCCTGGAGCCTTCTCCAAGTAAAAAAGATGGCTGGGAGCCAGCTTATACCTGACAAACTGACAAATGGCTGAGTAGTTCAAAGGCACAAGAGGATTCTCTGAAACTAGCCAAGAAGGCCTGAAAGCTATTCTAAGGGTTCATTTCCATAAGTAATTCCAAGCAAGCCCAGCAGAGGTGACTAAGATTCCCAAAAGGATACAATTATGCCTTTGCTCTCTCCTCAGTATGCTATACATTAAAAGCACCTGGAGAGTTTTAAAAATATCCCCATGCCAGGTCACACCCCATACCAATTAAATTAGAATGTCTAGGAGGTGGGAACCACACATCCATTTTTGTTTTTTAAAGAGCCCTAAATTATTCCAATGTGCATCAAAGTCTGGGAACCACTCTCCAAATCTCAAGTTTC